TGCAGGTGGAAATTTTGGGGAAATGTTCAATTTACAGGGGAGACTCTGCCGAAATTTCGGCAGGAAGTCTCGTGCCCCTAATCCTCTCTGGTAAACGAGGACATAGATTTAAGGAGTGAACCCGGCATGGGGGTGATGCCGGGGTCTCCGCAGGGTTCGTCTCGGGTTCTGGGAAATTCGGGACGGGTCCTGTCACGACATGATCGGCACACTTGGACTTGGTGACGCTGTACAGATGGGAGAACTGCTCGTAGGAGGGGCTCCCTTCGCCAGCCATGCCGAAGGCCGTTATCACTCCCATGAGAGCCACCCAGAAGCTGGGGTTGAATTGCCCCGGGGCATAGCCGATCTGGGCTAGAATCCTCTGCACCGCCGGTTGCAACGGCAACCGAACGCCTTGCACAAGGACGTCGGTAAAGAAAACTACTTCGCCGTCCTTAGGCGCGCTGAGGGATTCGGTAGGGCCCGGAATCCTCATCCGTACCGAGTCGGGAATACGGTACTCCGCTCGTAATTTGGCAATCTCCCTATCGGTAATCTTGTTCGGCCCAAGGTAGTCTACGCCGAAAAGATTTTCCTTCGGCACCCCCATGGGCATCCTAGGGTTACTTGGGTACACTACCGATACCCTGGGCCCAGATGGCGGATTGGCTACCGACTCTCCACGGCCGGAAGTGGAGGTCTCCGATTGACGGCTACCGCTCGCCTCCCCGGGCATACCGAGGCCCACGTGGCGGCCGTCACTGTAGACGATGGACAATGGGACGGGAGCGGTCATTAGCCCCTTTCCGACCCCGTGTGTTGGAATGAAGCTGGGCCCTTCGCCGAGTATCTCGACGTCGGTATCACTCCCGCCCTCGGCATCAGACCCTGCCGCTTCACCGTCGGAGTCAAAGAGACCGTCCGATGACTCCTCGTCGAACGCATTGGGCTCGCGTTCGGAAAATGACTCGCTATCAGACATCTACAAAAACAGGAAAAAGGGAAACTAAGGCTCATGCCGATGCTATCCTACCGATCCCTACATCGCTACCTATGGCAACTAGACTACCGGATGGAATCCTATGGTCAGTCTAGTTCGAACCAAGGAAGGACGTAACCCTCAAGGCATGCAGCAAATTAAAGAGAAGGGTGCCGAACGGTACCTTAACGTGTGCCTTGGAAGATAAGTACGATCTGCTCTTCAGGATGCTCTCCTACCGTTCGCAATGCCGGGAATCGCCTTTCCTACCGTTCGCGATGCCGGGAATCGCCTTTTCTACCGTTCGAAACGCCGGAAATCGCCTGATTACCGAAAGCCCTCGTCGGAAATCGCCTCAGACAGAGCTCTCACTTCTCGCCAGATGCAAAGTGAGTCCGCCTCCGGGGTCATCTCTATTTATAGGGGGAGTGGTTGGCAACGGTACTCCTCGAAAAACCAAACGGCGCATTAATGCGCCGCGCGCCATCATCACTTTCGCCACGTGTCGCTCACCCTATGGAGAACTGACGGCACGCGAGGCGCGGAAGTCGAAGCGCTCAGACGTCCCTTCGCCCGTCAGATCGACGCGACCTTCTGACTTCACCAACGTCAGCCTCTGAGCTGGTCATGCCGGAAGGAGCAAAATTTGGCAACTTCCCCAGGTGGGGTTACCGAACGGTAAGACCGTGTTTCCTCCCGAGGATAACTTCAAATCCCCTACCGAAGACACTCGCAAGGGGACTTGGGGGACTCCTGTTTATACCAAAATGAACACCCAATGAATATCAAACACGTGGACCAAACCAGGGCTACGTGTGCCTTCGGCACTCGCCTTCGGTACCATACCTACCGATGGCAACATTAGGGCAATCTCGCCTCTCTGACACGTGGCAGCCCCACAACTGACGCCCAGAGTCCCACATCGAAACTCTAAGCAAATTGCACACCTCCCAAGGCCTATAAAAGAGGACATCCATCCCAGCTTGAAGGTAATCAATCAGAACTTACGGCATACTGCCTATTGATCTGCAGTTAAAACTTACTAAATCCGTACTTACTTAAGCATCGGAGAGCCTTCGGCCGGTACCACACCGGTGCCCTAGGATTTACCGTGTGTTTGCTATCTTACAGATCACAGACCCTACCGAGGACATCAGCTACCGAGGAGACTTAATCACTAAGTTGCGCGGGAAAGTGCCGAACCATTTTTCTGCGTCAACACATATATATGTGTAAACGTCCAAATTGCTTTTTGATTTGATCTTACTCGATTTCTGGAATTCGCAAATGATGGAGCAAACCCCTTCTAAATCTCAAATTTTCTACAACTGAAGTCAAGTTATAATAAAAATGGTAGATATATAATGTCGAAGCCGTTTGGTCCAGAATGGATGGCCCATTTGTGTGGCCTGTTTTCTGCCACGTTTTGAATTTTATTGAATGCACTGGATAGACCTTTTGTTTTTTGTTTTTTGGCAGCGAGTGAGTGAGCACTTGTCATAATAAATGTATTAGTTGTGGAATTATTGCAGGTGTGAAATAAGGGAAAATGAATTTCCATAGATAAGGTGGACCTTTTAAGCAGTAAAGATATGATATGTATGTCCTTCGTAATGACACTTTGTGGAATACACTACAAATTGTACTCAACGATCTCAATCGTCTAGTTTTGAGGTCTTTAATCATATATCTTCTTTACAACAAATTAGATAAATTAAAAATAATTTATATATCTAGTTGTGAACAACAAAATAGATAAATATAGTATTGTAAGAAAACACTAAGGCTCTGTTTGGTTCATTAGAAAGGAGACTTATGAATGGGAAATCAATTGCTTTCCCATGTTTGGTAAGTTTAGGTATGAGAAATCGTTGCCTGACTCATGGGAAAGTAGGAGAGAAAGTGAAGCCATCCTCCCAACTTGGGTTTTGTTTTCCCTCATCATGGGAAAGTTTAGGAAAATGAGCTAACATTAAATACATATTTTTTATGACCATTTTATCCCCATTAACAATTTAGAATTACAATATATCATTAAATGCACTCTCTTTTTATTTGATTTAATAAGGGTATAATTGAAAATTTATTCAAACTTTGTTTTCCATTCATACTCAAAACAAACATGGGAAAGGAAATAAAGTGATATTTCCCGGTTACTTTCCCAGAATTACCAAACGTAGGAAATGAATCTTCAATTCCCATTCCTTTGGAAATGACATGGGAAATGATTTTTCCTCAAATTCATTCCATGAACCAAACGGGGGCCTAAGGGGGTGTATCCAATTCATACTTATAAAGACTTCTTGTAATTGAGTGATTTTCATAGAGTTGACAAATTCTTAAATACTTTCATAGAGTTCATAAAAGTCACTAGTAAATTGACAAGCCTTTTGATATTAACAATTAGCCTTAAAAGTATGCAAAAATCATTCATTTAATAAGCTTTTTAAAAGAAATTAACTTTTTGGATATCACCAAATTTTTAAAGACTTTTTAAAAATCACAGTTAGATACCACCAAACTTTTAAATACTTTTAAGAGCATCCACGATGGGTTCTCTAAACCACCTCCTTAGATAAATTTTAGAGAGAAATTGAAAAAAAAAAAAAAAAACACAACTCCAACCATGCTCCCTATCCATCAATTTTGGGCCCCTTTTATATAAAGGGTTGTTATCTGAAGTGGAACATCTCTAATACATGAATTTCAAGCAGATCCAAACTCATAATCCGCAACATATTAGATAAATTTAATATATGTGAATGGATCCATGCGTCTTTCAAGAGATTCAATACATTTAGTTTCCAAGCTTTGTGCAATTATCATTCCGATTAGGATCATGTTTGAATTTGAAAATTAAAGCAATTAGTGCTCAACAGAGTATGAAGTTTGGAGCACAAATAGAACATAACTATTGATTTAGAAAGGTAAATTTGCATCAATACCAAGTGGACTCGTATTGTATCTTAATAATTTATTTCTTTTGATAACTTATTATTCATACTTTACTTTTAAAGGAGACGAGACTCGTAAAGACGGACTTGTACCCAATTCCAATGAACTCATATTGTGTATTGATCTCAAATTATTTGATGAACTTTAATGGAATTAATCAGTGTATACATGTTTTAAAATTTGTTTTTATGAACATTTTCACTTAAAAATGATAAATTATTTTCATTTAAAAAGTTATAAATGATAAAAATATAACTGTATTTGATTATAAAAGACAAACACACGAATTATGAAAAAATGGAATGATTTTCAGGGTTGAATATGATATAAATGAACTAATGACATGTTTACTAATCCGTAATTGGATTATGAGGAATTGAATTGAGGATGAACTGAATTGATGAGGAGTTGGATTGAGGAGAATTAGATTCCGGATTTCTATTGAAGTTGTTTACTAAATCATATGAAATTAAGATATTAGTGGTATTAATTATTAAAATATCTTCGTTGTGAGGTTAACGTAGATGATAAATTTAGAAATTTGAAAATTGTGTGAAAATTGTGCTCAACAATAGTACAAGTGGCGGGGCCGGCATTGCATTAAAGAAAACAAAAAAGGGGCCAGCCTCCACGTGGTCTAGTGGGCTGCACCGCTGTGCTACATCAATTGTGGGCCCCTTGTGGGAGTAATTTCGGGGCTTAGAGGTCTAATTTTGGATTTGAGACTCTCCCGCTGAAGAGTCTTATACAACCAGTGGGCCCAAAGAGAACAAAACAGAGCAGGCAAAGGTTGCTATTGGATAGATCTAGTTCCATCGCCAAGTCTTTGAAAGGCTTTTAAAAATAAATCTTTTACGGGCTAGTCATATATCGCATAAATAAAGAATAAGGCAGTGAAGTACAGAGAGATGGAAGAAGGCGGCATTTGGGAGGAACTAAGAGGTGTGCTTATTGTGCAGATCTAGCTAATTTTGTGGGATTACTGGGTTGTAATTTTGCGTCTCTTGGGCAACAAAGAACATGGCTCCTCTGAAAATTTCACTGGGTACGTATATATGTACTATCTACTTAACACACACACACAAATGAATTATCAAAGTCTCAAATGTTTGTGGCCGGTTTTCAATTACGTGCAGGTTTCAGTATAAGCTTCTTTGTTTTGCTGGTTGGACTGCTTTTGAGACAATGCATAGCCCTGAAAATATCAGGGTATGTAAAACAGATAAAAGATTACTTTGCAAATGCGCAGTTAGAAAAGGAACTGGTTAAATCTAATGGATCTGTTAAGTTAGCAACCAGAAAGTTTACTGAAAAAGAACTGGAAGAGGCCACATCCAAGTACGATGACAGCAGAACCATTGCTACCGGAGAGCATGGAAAAGTGTATAAAGGAATTCTACCAGATAAGAGAGTGGTTGCCGTAAAGGAGTTCAAGTCCGAATCCAGGTTTCGTACAGAATTTGAAGTTCTTTCTCGGATCAAACACAGGCATGTGGTGAGGCTCTTAGGTTACTGTATAGATTCGAGACAACATACCTTAGTTTACGATTTCATCAACAATGACACTCTTTACAAGCACATTCAAGAAAAAAACGAAGGATCGTCAACACTCTCATTCGAATTACGAATGAAGATAGCAGCAGAAATCGCAGCGGCACTAGCATACATGCACTCCTCCACTTGCAATTCACAAATCATACATCTAAACGTGAATTCGAAAAGAATACTATTGGATGAGAATTACATGGCAAGATTGGCCTACTTTAGAGAGGCAAAATTTGTTCTTCAAGGTACAACTCATGTAGAAGGTACTGTGCGAGGCTCATCCGGATACTTAGACCCTGAAAGTATTCAATCAAACACGTTGTCAGAAAAGAATGACGTCTATAGCTTTGGCGTTGTCCTAGTGGAGCTACTAACAAGCCAAAACGCGTTTTGTAAAGAGAGGCCTGAGGCAGACAAACACCTTGCAAGCTTGTTTCTTCGCTCGGTGGAAGAGAGTCGCTTGGATCAAATTCTTGATGGTGAAATAACAAGGGGGAAAATCTTATTGGGACAGCCAAAAAAGTTGCTGATCTGGCAAAACGCTGTTTAGGGTCACGAAACGAAAGGCCTTCCATGAAAGAAGTAGCCGCGAAGCTTGAGGTGTTGCGATTTATGGAATGGCATTATTCAGCTTCTACGGGAATGGCTAAGTTGAATTTTTCTCAATCTCCCTAAAAAACCGACAACTTGCTTGGTTCACCTTCACAGGCTCAAGTTCTTGAGGTCAGACGTGGATTTGATGAATTTTTTGGTTCTTGTTGGATTTAACAGCTGCAGAGTTATACGACAGCAGTGCAGGGCCAAATCAAATCCAAATTAGCGTCGAAGCCTGAAGATGATGGCCGATACTTGATTGGCTTGTTCCTAACGAAAACTATGTCAAATTACTATGTTTTGAATGTTTGGTCATAAATCGATGAGTCCGGATTTTGATTTTCTAGTGTTGATATCGTGCAATTATGTCAAAACCATATCTTTTTAGACTTCCATTAATGAACGTGGGTGACTAGGAAACTATTGGTAGACGTCTTACGAATCCTAGGTACACAAAAGAAGACAAAAGGCAAATAAGATTGGAAACGTAATCTGCATTCATCGTCCTAGTTACATCATGTGACTAGAAATATACAAGAAATTTCATGTGCAACATGCAATTGTTGATTGACTAAATAATAATAATGGAGAATAGCATCATGTATGTTGATAGTGTCCCGCATTGGAGGATGGAAGTTTTGCAATAGCGTTTAAAAGATCTTGCCAATTAGTTTTAGGTTAGACGCTCAAGTTCTAATAATGTGATCCTTATAAGTCCTTACAAGGTTTCTTAGAGTATTTATACACTTGTTCTTAAGCTCTTAACGAACTTCTAAAACTGTTGCTTAACAGCCTAAGCATCTAACAATATTAGAAACTAACTAACTAACTAACTATACACGTTGGTCAGCAACTGAACTAACCACTGCCAGCTCAAAAATTCCAGTTGGCTTCAGCTATCATATATAGCCAACAAATATTGTAGTAGTGACTTTAACTTTCTTCAGCGGAGACAAAAACCTAGGTAGACAAGGCTACTTTATAATTTCTGCAGATAATGTTGCTTTTGTCCATCGTTTGCTTGTTACACACGGTAGAATTTTTGGTGCATTATTAATGCAACAGAAAAAACAGGAAAAAGATTTATTTATAAGCTGGTTCAATATGTGATTAGTGCAGAGTAGGGCGCAGATTTACCAAGGTTTATAGGCAGTTAATCCTGACACTGTCCGGTGAGGTGGGGGAGGTGCCGGTGGGCAGTTAAACCTGACGAGGTCCGGTGGGGGGCGCTTCCTCTTACGGAAATGGTCCCGGAAAAGAGTGACTACATCACACAAGTCTCTGGCCAGGAGAACACGGGCTTTGACATCTTTGGTGGCCTTGGCGCTACTGGTCGACAAGGGTAATAAGTTGGGAAATACAGCAATTGTTGCCCAATCTACAAGTTCTTCTCCAAAGAAACCTCCCGCTTCAAGCTGCGCAGCAGAAGGATCCTTACTACTTTCAATCTTTACAATTCCTTCTATGATGAAGAACATCTTATCAATCGGTCCATTCTCTTTAATAATATCGGTCTTTGCAACATATTTCACAGTCTTAGAATGCTTCCAGATCGCTTTCAGTACTTGTTCGTCCAGTGAGTCAAGCTTTGGAACCTGCGTAAATTAATTCAATAGATATATACATATATGCATTTAAGAAAAGATAATGAGAGGAAAATTAAACTAATTAGCAAGGTAGCATGCATCAAATAGGAACTTACTCTCTGTAACTTTTTCCACATCATATTGGAATTGAGATAGCTTTGAAGTTCAGAGGGAAGAATAGAGAGGATCTCCTCCACGTCACCACCCCTGAGTTCGTCAGGTTCGTGTTTCACCGTTCTCATGATCTGTGACTTTACCTTATCCTTCTCATTTTGAGAGATGTTGACATTCTCGGATAACCAGGATGCTATCTCTCTATCTTTCTCTTTCAACCTCCGTTTGAATTTCATCTCTTGATTAACACGTTCTTTACGTGCCTCTTCTCTTGCAGCGTCGAACTGCATGTACATCTATTAATCCAAAACAACGTAGCTACGTTCAGTTCATGAGTATTTATTCTAATATCTATAAGTAACGTTAATTATTCTAATATCTATGATGAACAATAGGAGAAGAAATTTTTGGGAAAAAGCGATCTTCACAGCTTGCCTTTGGTGTGGCAGTCGCGCTGCCACATAATCTTACTAATTCATTCATATTGTAATATGTAGATTAATATTACCATATAACAGTGACCATATATATATATGTATATATCACACTAAAACATTTTCTCCTCTTTTTGACAAAGTAACTAGCAATAAATGATTCAGACCAAAGTGAAAAATCGCAATGAGTGATTTGTCCCTCCTAATTAAAAAAGCAGGTAGCCAACACTAGCATGGATTCTCAAATGAGAACAAAGATGACATATATAAATACTTGACACCAACCTGCAAATTTCCAATGAGATATATAAATAGTAGCAGGCCAATAATAGAAACAAAAGCCGCAAAGAGGTTCTCCCATGTAGTGATACTGGGCTGGAGGTTCGAACCAAGAGAGCTGAAAATATGAATATGGATCGCAAATATAAGATACAAATCTCTACTTTTAAATTCAATGTGTTCATGATTAAGAACTCAGACCAGATGCTATGTATACATTGGGCAGAAGCAAGACAGAGAATTATAAACTGGGGAAAAACAGAGTTTGAAATGACAGTTGAAATTTTTAACAGAAAAGTTGAGTGTATTTTATTTGTAAGTTCGGGCTATAGCAAGATATGTATGCAAGACCAATGAGCTTCAAATGTACAAACCTCAAATTTCGCAGGCCCCACCAAAAACAATTGGAGAATTTTTGTGGATGATTTGTTGACTTGGATATACCAGATTTAAGGACGTCAACAAATATTCCAAAATCAAAGAGCGTTTCATTTTGTGGGTTTATTGGACATAAGTCATTTAGAAATGTGACATTTTTGAACTGGCCATCGCAAACAAAACTACGAGGTTCACATCCAATTTCAGTTCGACATGCAAGTTGCCAGCAAGTCTTCATTCTTTGAATAGCAAAAAAGTACCAAAAAGCTCCGAGTACCTAAAGAATTGACAAATTATAGTTCATTAGAATGAATTGTCAATATACTTCGGTAGCTGGATCTGTAAGGTTGATTCATTTAAGAACCTCAGCTTTGATCAAGAAATAAAATGAAGAGGAAAAAAATTTGACGCATCCACTTTGACATAAATTACGATGAACAGACTGAAACTTACATGACTAGCAAGGATGTACAGAAGGAAATTGAGTACACTTTTAATCCACAGTCCAATACGTTCATTGAAACTCTCTTTAAGTTCCTTACATGCGAAGTAGATTCGAAGAATCCGTGGCACATATTGCACCATAACAAGAGAATTCATAAGCATCGCTATGTTCAAAAATCTCCAGCCCTTCAATTTAGAAAAGAAAAGGATAATTACCACCTGCGACAAAATACAATGTTTTAGTTATGCTCCCAGCAGTCAAATCAAATAAATTAATTAGTGTGAGAAGGATTTGATAATTAAGGATTCTCTTAATTACCTGTGGAAGTGGAAGAATAGCTAAAATGTCAATTAGGATGCATGACTGCCAAATGGTCTTTGCTATTGTTTAGAAAAAAGAAGTTTCATGCATCAGTAAAAATAAATTTAAGACTGAATATTAATCAAGCAGTTTCTGAAATGAAATTAATAAATTTGAGGCTAAAAGTTTCTCACATATTATAAGTCGAACAAGTAAGTCGACGAAGTAAGAGAAATCTGCGACTGCTCTCAGAGCAAAAGCTGTCTTATACAATGCTTTGTCCATGTCGATGCACTTGATATCCTGATTGATGATAGGAATGTAGAGGAACAATGGGTCGACTATAACAGAAATCACACATGATATTACAAATATCATTCTCCAGTTTATCTGTTTGAACATAAAATATATGCCTCCAATAGTTATCATTGCTGCCTTTATAAGATAAAAAATAAGTTTAACAGTCGTCTCTATTACTTTCCCTGTAACACGAAAAAAAACTCTAGGAATTTCCACTGCCAAGAAGCATCCCCAACAAAGGATTGCCAACATTGATGATGTGATCGTCGTTGAATTTGAAAATGTAAGAGTGGGGGGGCACCTATCAATGGAAGAAATTAGAAACAAACAGTTAATTAAGGAGCCAGCCATTCGTGGAAGCTATGGCATGACTAACTCTGTTCATGTTGTGAATAGAGAAAACAAAAGAAAATGTCGTTAGAAATAAAGAAGAAACCTGGCGGTAACATTCTCTTCATCCGAGTCCTGCACAAGTGAAGTTTCTTCATCTTCTTCTTCTTCTTCCTCTACAGCTAAAGTTAGTTCGAGGTTTGCCATAACTCAAACTTATTTAAGATAATATTGTATCCCCTGGACTATATCCTTCCTAAATAATAGACCTGAAGTCCTGTTTTCTGGATATTCTTCACAACGGATAATTGTTCAAGGACATACACGTCATGATTCGGAGGTTTTCTACTCTACAATGTGGAGCAAGAGAGGAGGGGGATTGGCTTAGGCTATGGTTGGCTGAAACTGATGAGCCTGGCTAGCATTCTGGATATTTGCATTGTAGATGAAGATCCAGCAGATTAATCACCCTTTGAATTAACTGAAACCAAATCTAGAACTCAACTCAACTCTCTCTCTCTCTCTCTCAATAAATCTTAATTGATTTAAGGAATGGAGTGATCAATCAAGCAGCTAAGAGAAATTAAGGTCAGTAAATTTTATGGAAAAAAACAAGGGTTATAGAAAAAATCCCAATTGTCACTTTCAAGATCACACCCATCTTGTAAAACATTTTTTGTCCACGTGATTGAAAAATGGGTCCCACTTTTGACACACTATGCCTCCAAATTTCCAATAGACCACGATATGCCCCTAGAATTTACAGACAAGACGATGCCGCTCCTCATGTTCCCAATATCCATGGCTGCGCTGCAGTGGGAGAGTTCGTGGTGGTTTGGTAGTTGTATTGTGCAGCCAGGGTAGTTATGTGGGTCAGCTGGTATTGGCTGGGTAAGTCGCGGTTGGAGGGAGAGGGAGAGAGGTATAGGACAGGTCGAGGTGATATGAGAAATTGTTGAAGGGAAGTGACAGCCATTGGTGGACTCAGAAATTTTTTAGTGAAAGTGTAATTTTAAAAGACTAAAAGTTTTATTTTTAAAAAAATTGAATACTTCTGATTATTTGAATTCTTGTAATATGGAAGAAAAAATGCAGCCTTTATAAATATAATAATTCCCCGAGTCCCATTAAATAAGGAGTTGTGCAATCAATGCAAGAGTTTTCCTTTTAAATTTTAATTTTTTTAAAATCTTCGTTTAAAAAAAAAAAAAAACTTATTAAAAGCCCTAGAGTTTTAAAAGCCATTAGTTTAAAGCCTTTTATTATTTATTAAGCAGGCCTTAGAATATGCCCACGAAACGAAAGTCTACGTTTCCTCTTTTTTTTTTTTTTTTTTTTTTTTTTTTTTTTTTTCTTTTTAAGGCCTGGAAACAGTGCATTTTGCCCTAGATGTTTTAAAAAAAATTATGCGGATCATTACACAACTTGGAGGCAATTCATCGAACACCTAAAATGCACCACCCATCCTCAGCAGATGGGCAATATGCAGCGACTACAAAGGCTTTTCCAACAAAAGCCTTGGGCTTTAATAGGTCAGCCAATGGTGACAGCGTCGACAGTATTTGGACAATCATGGTGGTTGTTTGCTGGGTAACTCAGGTTAGGGGGGCAGGGAGGTGAGGAGGTGAAAGGTTTTTTGGTTTTAAATAAACACTTTAATTTATTTATTGAATATAATTGAACTTTTTTTTATTATTTGAAAAAAATAAAGAATTATATATCAATTTTTTAGTCCAATTGAAGTCCACATCATTAGGCCAAGTTTGGGATTGCTGTCACTTTTTAAAAAAGTTGCTTATGTTGTGCTTTGAAAATAATTAGCTATATAGTAAAGCAGTTCCATGTTTGGTAAACAATATTTTTAAAGTGCTGTTACTACAAAAAGCAGTGTCAAAACCGTTTAGTAAATTTTAATATAAAATTGTTGTAACTGTGAATAATGACTAAAATAGACATGATGTTAAAAGTGTTATGTACTAATCATGTGGTGGTAGTGGTAGTGATGGAGTGGAGGTGGTGGTGGTGATGAAGGTGGAGTTGGTGGGGATGACGGTTGTGGAGGTGGTGGTGGTGATGGTAGTGGCAACATGGTGGTGATTGTGGAGGTGGTGGTGGATGTGGAGGTTTTGGAGGAGGAGGTGGTTGTGTTGGTGGTGGTAGTGGTGGTGGAGGTGGTGGTGGTGGAGGATGAGGAGGAGAAGGATGTGGCGGTGGCGGTGGCGGTGGCGGTGGTTGTGAAGGTAGTGAATGTGGTGATGAAAGTGGTGGAGTTGGATGTGGAAGTAGAGGTGGTGTCATTTTTTTAAATGAATGATGGTATTTTGGGAATTAAAAAAATTCATTAAAGGTTCATCTCTGCTTCTTTTGAAAGTAGTTTTGAAAAGCAACACAGAGCCTGCTTTTAAAAGCTGCTATCAAAAGATCACTGCTTTTAAAATAATCAGGATATTTTATTTTTATCAAACACCTTGAACTGCTTAACTTTAAAGTGAAGCAGGTTTTTGGCAAAAAAAAAAAAGCAGTACCAAATGGGTCTATATTTGCCACATCACCATTTAACAGATATACTAAAAGCATTTACAATGGACTTCTTAAATCACCACTTTAGATCAATTTTAGGGATTATTTGGAAAAATACAATTCTAACCATGCTTCCTGTCCACCTCCTAAAATATGGAGACCTCTAAGAGCTCCTAAATCTAAGGATATAATTTAATGCTGCTTTATTTTATGAGTATTTTAAATCTTTAATTAATGCTAACTATTTTTAAAAATATTTGTTTTATGTAGATGGACCAATTAAAAAATAGTAATAATAACATTTATGAATCCCTAAACTAGAGAGTATGATTGGAGTTAAAATTTCATAGAGAGCTCCAAAAATAGTTTTTGTATGTTTTTAGCTAAATTTTAACTTAAAAATAAAGAGCATGATTGGAGATGCTCTAATAGTTTGGATAATAATATGGGTAATTTGTAGAGTTTTTGGAAGTTTGAGTATGAAGTTGTAAATGTCACAAAATGGGTATGTATTTAAAAATAACCAAAAAATAAAACCAGTACTTAAGTTTCGTCTTGATGTTCCTTGAAGCCCTAGCTACCAGTCATAGTCATCCAAAGTTCGACGTTTTGCGTGTTGGCATAGGATGATGGAGTCACATGCAGTTATTAAAAGATGTTGGAGCTCTGCCCAAGAGCATGATATTACCTTGCCCAAGAGGCTAGTAATTAATAATAATTATCGCATAAAAAATTACTAATCTTTTGTGCTTGTATTCGCTCCTATTATTAACCAAAGATTAACTTTGCTCTTCGCTTTGACAACTGGTGATATTGATGAGTGCGAGGCTTCAAAGCCGTACAACAATGGAAGGTGGGTTAATTTACTCTGGAAAAGGGTACATAAACGAAAGGCTGGCCGGCCTGACGAGTTTCGTCAAAAGCATGAACATTTCCCTGAAAATTTCATTGGGTATGTACCACTTACTAGTTAGCTACTTAATTGCATATGATTAGCAGCTATATCTGTGTGTGAGTGTGAGTTTGTGTGTATTTCCCTTTTGCAGGTATCTGTGTAAGCTTCTTTATGATACTGGTTGGAATTCTTTTGTTACTTAGTATGTGCAAGATAATTGAGTTTCTAAAACGCATTGCAACCTCACAACACAGATTGGCTGTACATAATAATAATGGACCTTTCAAGTTAGCACCCAGAAAGTTTTCTGCACGAGAAATTTCTTTGGCGACAGATTATTTCTATGACGGTAGAATCATTGGTAGAGGAGGCAAAGGAATAGTTTACAGAGGAGTTCTACAAGATAAAAGCGCGGTGTCCATAAAGAAGTTCAAGCCAGACGTACCTAGTAGAATTGTCTCTAAAATATTTGTTAACGAGGTGACCATTCTTTCTCAGATTAAACACAGACATATTGTGAGGCTCTTAGGTTACTGTGCAGATCTGGGAGGAGAAACCCTAGTTTGCGAGTTCATCAACAATGGCACTCTTTACGAGCATATTCATGAAAAAACCAAAGGATCATCAACACTCCTATTCCAATTGCGAATGAAGATAGCAGTAGAAATCTCAGCTGCACTAGAATACTTGCACTCCTCCTCCTCTACTTCCAAGAATATATCAATCGTACATCTAAATGTGAATTCGAAAAGAATACTATTAGATAATAATTACACGGCAAGATTGGCCAACTTTAGAGAGGCAAAAGTGATTCCTCAAGATCAAACTCAAGGTACCCTGCAAGGTTTACCCGGATACTTAGACCCTGAAAGTATTAAATCAAAAAAGTTGTCAGCAAAAAATGACGTTTATAGCTTTGGAGTGGTCCTAGTTGAGCTCCTGACAAGCCAGAGAGCATTTTGTGATGAAAAGCCTGAGGGACAGAGAGACCTAGCACAGTTCTTTGCTCGTTCAGTGGAAGAGGGTCGCTGGGATCAAATTCTTGATGGTAAAATAATTAAGGAGGAAAATTTGGGGACAGCCAAGAAAGTGGTTGATCTCGCAAAAAGCTGCTTAGGTTTGCAAAATGAAAGGCCTTCCATGAGAGAAGTAGCCATGAAGCTCGAGGTTATGGCATGGGATTATTCAGCTGCTAAGGGAGTGGCTAAGTTGAATTTCTCTCCATCTCCCAAAGAGACGGACGAGTTGAATGGGTCACCTTCAAACGCTCAACTTCTTCAAGTCAGACGTGAACATGATGAATCTTTTGGCCGTGCAGAGTTATACGGCGACAGCAGCTTACAAAATCAAATCATCGAACTCGTATGATGATGACCGATATAATTGATTGTGATGTAATGAAAATTGTAGCTTGTTTCAATTTGAGTCCCTTTTTTTTTTTTTTTTGGGTAGACACTGAAAACCCTTAATTG